TTGAGGAGCAGGTTGTTGTCAGCACACCAGCGGCCAGATGCTCTACCTCCTCCCTGTAGGCTGTGTCATTGTTGTTGCTGATGAGGCCAATCACCGCCGTATCGGCCGCAAACTTGATGATGGTGTTGGATCCATGTACAGGTCTGCAGTCGTGGGTGAAGAGGGAGTAGAGGAATGGGCTCAGCACACAGCCCTGTGGTACGCCTGTGTTGAGTGTGATGGTGGTGGAGCAGGTGTGTCCTGACCTAACATACTGGGGTCTGTTGGTCAGAAAGTCCATTATCCAGTGACGGAGGGAGGTGTTGAAGCCCAGGTCTCCGAGTTTAGTGTTTAACTTGGAGGGGATGACAGAGTTGAATGCTGAGCTAAAATCAACAAACAGCATTCGTGCGTATGTGTTCTTATTGTCCAGATGTGTGAGCACAGAGTGCAGCGCAGTGGAAACTGCATCCTCTGTACTCCTATTGCTGCGGTAGGCAAACTGGTATGGGTCCAGTGTGGGTGGGAGGCAGTTTTTCAGGTGTGCTAGGACCAGTCGCTCAAAGCACTTCATTATGATGGGTGTGAGTGCTACAGGGCGGTAGTCATTCAGGCCTGTCGGGCTGGAGTGTTTCGGCACTGGGACAATGGAGGTGGCTTTGAAGCATGCTGGCACAGCTGCTTGGGCGAGGGACAGGTTGAAGATGTCCGTAAAAACCCCAGTGAGCTGCTCCGCACATGCTCTAAGCACGCGCCCGGGGGTGCCGTCTGGACCAGCAGCCTTTCGAGCGTTGATCCGGCTCAGTGCAGCGTGGACGTCTGTGGAGGTGAGTGAGAGGGGCTGGTTGTCTGCAGGAGGTCTGGTCGTGGTCTGCGTCTCCCTGTTGTCTCTATCGAAACGAGCATAAAAGTGATTTAGCTCGTTCAGGAAGGAGACATCTGTGGTTATCGGGGTGGAGTTTCTGGGTTTATAGTCACTGATGGCCTGGATGCCCTGTCACATGCATCTGGGGTCGGAGTTGGAGAAGTGTTCCTCTACCTTCAGCTTGTAGCAGTGCTTGGCCTTGATGATGCCCCTCCTCAGGTTTGCCCTGGATACGCTGTAGGCCATTGCATCATCTGATCTGAAGGCGGTGTTGCGGGCCTTCAGCAGGAGACGCACCTCCTTGTTCATCCATGGCTTCTGATTTGGGTACGTGGTGATCTGCTTCCATGTTGTAACACTGTCGATAGTGGTATTGATATAGTCCAGCACAGAAGAAGTGTAGGTGTCAATGTCTGTGTGAGAGCCCGAGGTAGCCTGAGAAGCAAACATACTCCAGTCTGTGTGATGGAACTTGTCCTGAAGTACAGAGTCTGTCCCCGCTGGCCACACTTTAATCGTTGTTACTGATGGCTTCACACGTTGGATGAGTGGGGAGTACTTGGGGATGAGGAACAAAGAAAGATGGTCTGACTGTCCCAGGTGGGGGAGGGGGGTCGTGGTGTAGGCTCCTGCGATGTTTGTGTAAACATTGTCAAGAGTTTTGTTTCCTCTTGTATTGCAGGAAACATGCTGGTGAAATTTAGGGAGCACTGTCTTTAAGTTTGAGTGATTAAAATCACCTGCAACTATGAATGCAGCCTCCGGGTGAGCAGTCTGTTGTTTACTGATAGCGGTGTAAAGTTCCTTCATAGCAGCTTTTGCATCGGCATCAGGGGGGATGTAGGCTGCAGTTACAATAGTGGAGCTGAGCTCCCTTGGCTGATAGAAAGGTCTACATTTAACCATGAGAAACTCAATGTTAGCTGAGCAGTGTCTCCCAATAATGACAGAGTCTGTACTCCAAGCTTTGTTAATATAGATGCACAGCTCTTATACCTCCGCGCTTCCCCCGCCTTTGTTTACGGTCTCGACGCCGCCTGCGAGCACTTCCGCCCGGCCGGGTAGAGTGCGTAGCCTCGGGTGTTTTGGCGATCTCGGGTATGAGTCGAAGATTGTTGATTAGATCGTCAGGGAGGTGTATTCCAATATCCAAAAGTTCCTGTTGGGTGTAGGATGTTAAGGCGAGGCTGTTCTGTGCGAACAGACCCGAAATTAACAATAAAATTACTGCAAAATTGCAAATCTGAGAGAGACGCTGGGCCTCGCGATGCGCTCGCGCCGCCATCTTAGCCATTTATCTGGACGCCATCTTATCTTCTTATGTAGTAGGACCAATAGTAGGTAAAAGTTTTAAAAACAGTGAAGGTGGTAAGACATTCAAGGAGCTATTAGTCATCTTTGATTTCTTTGTCAAATCCATGAGATCCTCAAAGCTAACAAGGTGGAAGGAGAACAAGACAGTAGGGGTAGCAGAGGAGCTGTCTCTAGGTGGGTGAGAGTTTGGCTGCATACTGGACCTTATAGCCAAAACCTTATCAACAAAGAAGGAGAGGAACTTATTGCAGTCATCAGTTGAACAGCATGGTAAGGTGGATGGAGATGGTAAGACAATATTGTTGATTGTGTCAAATAAAACTTTTGGATTCCTTCTAGAGGAAGAGATTAAAGTGCCAAAGTAAGCAGTTTTGGCTTCCTGTACTGCTTCATTAAAAGAATGCCGCAAATCTTTGAGATAAAGGCGATGTACCTCTAGTCCAGTGGATTTTCATAGTCGTTCAGACTTGCGACATTGCTGTCTCAGGCAGCGGACAGCATTGGTCATCCATGGGGAAATGTTAGGAATGGCCTTAGTCCTCGTCTTTAAAGGTGCCACTGTGTCCAACAATGTGGCACAACGAAGATTAAAAGATTGCAATAAAAGGTCAGTATTGTTTAGGTGTGAATAACAATCCCAATCATATTGTGCTAAGAACTGATCGGCTGTATTTGTTGTAATGATGCGGGAGTGAAAGGTTCTTACAACACTGGGAGGATCAATGGTTACACAAAGATCAAAGGAAATACTTCTATGGTCACTGATCAGTAAATCTTCACATCGGACATGGTTGACATCTATCCCTAGAGAAAAAACCAGGGCCGTATCCGAATTGCCAAGTACATACTGAATCTTTCAGTAGGCAGTAGGCAGTATGCAGTACATACTATCTGCTGCATACTGTTAGTACCTACTATTCAGTATGCACACACAGTAGGCAGATATTTGTTCTTACTTCTTCTGATTCATTCAGTATGGAAGTGACGTCATTTACATTTCCCGAACCGGCCGCATTCACCCGTTTTTTTTTTTTGTTTTTGTTTAGCTTTATGCAAGATGAGTAATGCACATATACAGTCAGGTAAACAAAAAACAATACCACAATGTAAATCAAGTAAAAGGCAGATTAAATAACTAAATAACATACAGTACATAAAGAAAAGTACAATTGAAAGACAGTAATATACAGAATATAAAATAAACCAATACAGACACATTTAAATATATATAATATATAGATATATAATTATTTAAATAGAGGGGGAAAGCTTTTATAATAATGCAGATATTTGTTATATTTTCTGTTGTTAATTAAAAGTAGTGATTTCAGTCGGGACTTTAACTCTAGATTAAAAATTGATTAAATTAATCCACGCTCGTTTGTTTTGATTTGGAGGCAGACGTGAAGTGACGATTTACCTTTAATTTCACACAGCATTGTGGGTGGTAAAACACAATTCATTTCCTGTAAGCATGCATCCGATCCATACTGCATAAAACCCGGAAGTTAGTATCCATACTGAAATGTGCAGTATACTGCGTGGACCCAAAAAATGCATACTGAATGACCACGAAAGTTCAGTATACTGAAACTCCATACTGAATAGTACGTACTGCATACTGAACTGTGACAATTCGGAAAGGGCCCAGGTCAAAGGTGTGGACTTTTATGTGTGTGGGGCCTACAGCATGTTGCTTGAGGTTAAAAGAATCTGTAATATTGAGAAATTTTTAACATATATTAACAATGTCCCAATTAATATAACCACCAATCAGAAATTGGCCCTGATATATATGAAATAAAAATGAGACATTGAAGATATCTTTGAAAAAGTATTTTGTACATTATTTTGTGAGTAGGGTTTTCTGGCCAACTTCACCAACTACCAAGGTGCACGGAGGATGAAAGGTTTGAAGAGGTCAAAGGGCTCCAGCAACAACTTTAATTAACTATATAATACTGTAAATAATAATATAATCCATAATTTTAATCTATATACTACAAGTAATACTGGAGCTTTTTGACCTCTTTACTCTTTTGTGAGTTCATAGATAGTAAATATTTAAGGATTAGGCCTGAAGACGTCACCCATCTGTTCCTGCAGGGGGCTTTGAAGTCCCATGGGTGGTGGTCTCCATGCTGGAAATGCTGTCTCATCCTAACTTTCATTCAACCTAATGTTAGACTGAGAACTGGAGCTATGGCGAGTTTTAAGCCTTGAGAAACACTGTTGCACCGCGCCTTCCAGTCAATCAGGTCAGCTACATAACTTTTTGTGAATAACGCTTAGCTTTCATACAGCGTGTGACAATGGAAACATGAGTTAAACAGGCCTATTTTGTTTTAGTACTGGGCTGTAAACATCTTATATTTCTGCTGTAAAAACAGGCGTTTTTGAATTGGTGTGTATTTGACTTCCGGTGCTTCTGCAGCTAGCCTCAAGTGGACACTCTAAGAACTGCAGCTTTGGCATTTTTCAACACCGGAGGTTGCAGCTTGTGTGAGTCTCATGGTTTTGCAAAAACACACTGGATTTGTCCAGATAAATATATTTTACTAACGATATGAACATCCTTTAATTATTTGCCCTGATAAATATTAAATGAATATGAAACAACAAAAAGTTCACTGTTAATGTAATTTTTACACTTCAGGTTGTTAATAAACTTTGAATTCCAAGTTTTACCAACCTAATGTGGAGATCCTATTATAGATTCATTAGGTATCGAGTATCAAACCAGTAAAGCTTCAGTTTCAAGTATACTTTCAATAACGAGTATCATGACAATGAACTTGTTATCGGAATAAAAAATGTTGTATCATGACAACACTACTGTACAACATTACTGTTAACAGACTATAAATATTTGTAAATATCCTACCAAGATAAAGAACGGTTATTTCCTTCATAAAACTCTCCCCAAACCAAACTACAAAGTATAGGTGTCAGTGAACATGTGATTTTGTTTCCTGAGTAGAGCAAATGATGTCACACCAGGCTGACCAATCAAATGCAGTCTTGTAATTCAAGAGTGGAGAAGGTACTGAGAGTCTTTTCATTCAATACAGGAACTCCAACACGTCGACATCTACAATGTTTGTCTGCTTTTTGATTCATTTGTTCTTTGGGGAAATGGGTAAGTTTTTCTAAGACTGCACTTTTTATACTTCAGTTTTTATCAAATTTTTGGACATTTTTTTGACACAATTTCACTGAGTTCTGTCAGATTGAACTGATTTTGTGTCTTTTTTCTTTTTAACTGACTTCAGCTCAGCTGACTTATCAGGAATCATCCGTCTCTATTCATCAAGAGAGACGTTTTGTCTCAGCTGAAGTTGGACAAACTGTGACTCTGCGATGTTTTTATGAAGGTGATGATTTAGCATGGCTTTACTGGTATAAACAAAGTCTGGGTCAGACACCAAGGCTTATTTCTACATTCTACGTGTATGATACAAGAATAACTTTCCAGGATGGATTTAATGACCAATCACGTTTCACACTCAACACTAAGAACAAAACAAATCACTTGATAATTTTGAATTTGAAAGTTTCAGACTCAGCTACTTACTACTGTGCAAGTAGCTTTAAATTTGTATTAAATTTCACGGAGGGCACTATAGTCAGTGTAAAGGACTCAGGTTGGAACGTCCCAACTTTAGTTCATCAGTCAGCATCTGAGACCATCCCGCCAGGAGGCTCTGTGACTCTGAACTGTACAGTCCACACTGGGACCTGTGACGGGGAACACAGTGTTTACTGGTTCAAAAACTCTGAAGAGTCTCACCAGGAAATCATTTACACCCACGGAGACAGTAATGATCAGTGTGAGAAGAATACAAAGTCAGACACCTGTGTCTACAACTTGCCAATGAAGAACCTGAATCTTTCTGATGCTGGGACCTACTACTGCGCTGTCGCTTCATGTGGACACATTCTGTTTGGAAACGGGACCAAGCTGGACCTTGAAAGTGGGTAACAGCTTGAGTCATTTGAGGATTAGTTATCTGTAACTCTTCAGGAAAAATGCACAAACTTAGAAAAATGAAAACCTGAAATCTCTGTTTCCGATGTCTGTCTCTCTGCAGATAACGTGGACTCTCTTGCCTTAGTGTATTTCTTGATCGGAGCTTTGACATTCACCACCATCCTGGTTGTTGCGCTGGCTTTCTCAATATACAAGAAAATTAAGGGAAACATCTGCCAATGCAGAGGTAAGTGTTAATTTCTTTATTTTTTCACCTATTTTATTGACAGAATTTAGCTTTAAAATAATGGAACATTTTCTGCGTTTCACATCCAGAGTCTCAACCAGGATTATCTGCTCCATCCACTGGAGACGACGAGGTAAATGTATTGTCTGTTCACCTTCTTGACATGTTCATAATTTCTGTAAAGGACTATATAGTTATTTCATTTTCAAATTTCTACATTGCTAGGGCAACCTCCACTATGCTGCTTTAAGTGTTCATCAGCCTGAACGGTCGAGAAGACAGAGACACATCGAAACGGGTGATTGTGTGTACTCCGGTGTGAAGCGCTAGGAATGTGCTTTTCACGCCTATATTTAAATAATTAAAAATAAATTATCCTATCTAAAATTGAAGTGTTTACCTTTAAAGCAGTGAACAATTTTACCATAATCACAGTGATTTTAGTTTGTAAATAAAAACAATGTGCACCAAGTTGAAATACATTTTAATTTTTTGACTGTATTTATTCATTTTCCAAATTACTTTCATAATTAAACTGAGTTCTAGTTACATGATTTATATAGAGAATTAATTGCTGCCAAACTGGGTAATTAACCAGGCCTTCTTATTGGGGAAACATGTGATCTCTGGTTATAATAATATAAATATCACTATTGTTTCCAGGACACATGTAGAAAAATTGACCTTCTATACAGTCAATCACATCTCGGTCATTGATCTAGTTATTCTGAGTTTTGGATGGAGGTTAAAGACGAGCAAAGGCAAGAACAGACGTCTCGGACATTGAGAGTCATTTGTAAAAAAAAAAAAAGACAACTTTTAAGTCATGTGAATTTTTTGATGAGACTTAAGTGTTTTCAGTGCGTGAAACCTGACAACATCTATACTGAAAATACTGTTGAGGATAATCAACTAAACAATTATTTTGATGTACAAGAAAGTTTTTGTGGAGTAATTTGGGTTTTTATTTTCATTAGAAAATAAACTGAAATCTTTGTACTTTTTTTTTTTTAACTTTTACAATAAAGCCATTCCATTAAGAAACCAGATTTCCTCGTTTATTCTTGACAAAAAAAGCTGTTCTTACACGGTGATGTCCATGAAGTAATACAAGTGGTACTGTTCCTTTTTTATTAGCATTGTATTGTCTTTGTTTTTTGTCAGTTGTTTATGTGACCGTGTTTACTGGAAAAGTGTGTCATATCATACACATCACAACGCAGGAGAAACTTACAAAGACAACTTTAACTGATGAGTGAGATACAGTAAGATTAGTTCAATTTCTCTATTTTTGTTTAAACGCTGATTTGTTGTGTTCTTGGGCATGAAGGACATCAGATCCTGAAAAAGTGGCCTTGGCAGTGAAGACCTAGAAATATTTCCAATAAACAAGCTGCAGTGCTGTGGATAAGATAACATTTCAGAGTCCCCCTTGGCTCTTGCGTTGGGGGACATAAGTTAGTTAAACAGGACAGATTCTTGCTAAATAGTCTGATTTGAAAAGACTCCTTCCACATCTACCTCAGCATCAACATGAAAATATTATAACCACCTTCTTTGTGTAAACCAACAACACTTGATGCTGAAGGAAATAATCATCATGACGACTTCATGTACTCAGAGGGGTAATGAGGCCAACAGGATGAAGCCCTGATGGGTTCTCGATACTGGTGGTGGTGCTGGTGAAGAGGAATAGAGGAAGTGAAGAATAGTGGGTTTTTGAGACAGTATTTGAACTCTGCTGAGCTGGAATGGAGGGGACTGCGGCGGAGTCGCAGCGAATGCAAAAATAAAATTTTGACTGCAGCAGGATGATTGGTTGAGAGAGATTGTGGCAGAATCTGGTTGGTTAGTTACTTAAAGAATAAACGCCCATAATGATCACCAGAGCAGGGTGACAGAGGAAGTAGTAGAGGTAGTGGTTAAGTTGAATGAAGAGATGAATGAATGTGTGAGAGAATAAGCACAGTCTTCCTGGTTGAACTTATACTCAACATGTTAGACCAAACTAGATGGCACCTGGATTAATGAATGGTTTTATTTGTATTTATTCAGTTTTTCAAAGTGCATTGCGGTAATGGCATTTAACCCAGATTCTGGTACTGTTGAAGGTTACTATATGCCTGTTAAAGGGAAGATTCACAGCAATGCATTGCTTTGTAAGGTTTTGTCTGAAGATAAAGGCTAGGCAATACGCTCTTGCACGGAGCAACACTGCATCCTATCTGAAAGGCCCTTTATTGTCTCTTGGCAATATTGGTACTAATGGTACCAATGTAGCATGTCCTTTATCTTAGCTACTTTTAGATCTCATAGACCTAACACTCTACCCTTTTTCTTGGTCTTTAGTTTCTGCCTCTTTTAGTGGAAATAGCTTTGTGGTTTTTCTGTCTCTTGAGATGAAGACCACTAAAACACGCAAAAAGTCACTGCAGCATGTCTGAAGCTGAAAATACTAATTTAAAATATCACAGTGAAACAAAGAAAACAGGGATCACATTTACAGAGGGTGTCTATAAAAAAATTCAATTTGTTCTTGAAAATTGCAGAAAATCTTATAATCTTTGTTCTTTGTATTTCTTTACTTATCCTTTTTAATTACATTAAATACATTTCATTCAGTCTCTTCCTCAACAGAGGTCTAGCGATGACGCAATTTTAGAATAGCTTTGGCACAAAGACATGCAAATAACTGAGCAATAATGTCATTGTTTATTCGCTTTAAATCCAATATTTTTAAATACCCTTGGCAAAATAAGATCCCAATTTTATTTGTTTCCCTGCTGTATTTCAAAGAAGAACATTCTGCAGAAATGTATTGTGTCATATCTCACTGGCCAATCAAATTGTGTCCTCCCTCTTAAAAGGGAAGAGACCACTAAGTTGTGTTTCATTCGACACAGTAGTTTGAACACCATGACACCCCTCATGATTGCGTTCTTCCTCGAATGTCTGTTCTTGGTGGAGATGGGTGAGTTATGTTTTAGAATTCTGTCTTTACTTTTTTTTTTACTTTTCTGGGCATTTACTTAAGTTGTTTTATGTGCAGATTAAGAACATTTTGACAGAGTGAAATCCTTTCAGCATTTTGTTTTTTTCATTTTAGCTCAGACATCGGATCCAAAATCGTTGATCAAAGTGCGCCAAGAGAGTGGACTCATATCAGCTAATGTTGGTGAGGAGGTCACTTTGAGTTGTTTCTGTGAAGATGAATTTGCATCAAAGTATTACTGGTACAAGCAAACTCTGGGACAGAAACCAGAGCTCATCTCTATGTCCTACAAATGTGAAACAAATGTAAACTTTCACGGTGAATTCCAGAATAATTCACGCTTCACACTGGATAATACAAATGGTCGTAATCACTTAAGGATCACAGACGTGCGCATTACAGACACAGCTACTTACTACTGTGCACATAGCCGTTCATATAAGATTGAATTTATAGAGGGCACTACTCTCAGTGTAAAAGGCTCAGGTTTGAACTTTCAATTGTTGATCAATCAGTCAGCATCTGAGACCACCAAGCATGGAGATGCTGTGACCCTGAGCTGTACGGTCCACACTGGGACCTGTGATGGAGAACACAGTGTTTACTGGTTCAGAAACTCTGAAGAATCTCACGCAGGACTCATTTACACCCAAGGAGACAGGAATAGTTCATGTCCGAGGAAACCCAACCAACAAAGCTGTGAGTACAACTTACCAATAAAGAGCGTTGATCACTCTCATGCTGGGACTTACTACTGCGCTGTCGCTTCATGTGGACACATTCTGTTTGGAAACAGGACCAAGGTGATCATCACAGGTGAGTTACTATTTTAGCAGGTGGTTGTCTTTTTATTTTAAAGTATAATTCTTCTTATTAAAACTCTCATCCCCGACTTTATACAGCTAAGGAGCATCAACTTGACCTAGTGTATACCTTGAGTGGAGCTTTGACTTTTACCATCATCTTGATTTTATTGTTGGCCGTCATTAAGTGCGTGATCTAAAAGAGAAACAACTGCTAGTGTAAAGGTACTGTCACTGCGTTTCTTTCTTCTTGACAGTGTTTACTCACATGATACAGTTTGATAGTGAAGGAATCTTCTCATTATTTTCTAGAATCTGGTACAAGAATTTCAGCTCCCTCCACAACAGATGAACAGGTACTTTGTGATTAGATTAACTTTTCTGCCAATTTAAACATTTTGAAAACAAGTTACATGAATCGAGGATATAAGTCGATCTGGTAGTATATAAGACACGGTCTGTTTTGGGGGGTCTTCCAGAGGGAAAATTTTTTTTTCCATTGTGCGCAGCGAAGTCCACAACTTACTGTTTCTGTGCAGCTGAGTAGTTCTTTCTAGTACCATCTGTTTTCACCATGTGGAGTTTGCAATCCTGCTAGTTGATTGATTGAACATTGATAGTTTGGAAGTAAGGACCCTCAGCACTCAACCAATTTGCCAAGCGTTGCGCTTCCCACCTTTGATGGTCACATGTTGTCTTAAATTGAAGAGCCTTTAGAATCAAACTAGCATCTATCAAACTAGGCTTATTCACTCAACTGTTGACCACTGTTTTCTTTAATTGTATGGTCATGACCCTAATGAGGGAGTAAAGTTGTTAAGTGTTGCCAGGGGCGCTGATTGTCCAGCGATTAGGTTGCTCCCCATGTGCAGAGGCTACAGACCTCTAAGTATTCACCCCTGGTTCAATGCCGACCTTTTTCCACATGTCATTCCCCCAATCTCTCTCCCAAAGTCCTACTATATCCACTTTCCTGTCTAGACAAAAGCTAAAAGCCCCAAACATAAACCTTTTGGGGGATAAATTAGTGCCGCCAGTCGGGACTGTGTCGCCATGTATCCCAGGATGCTGTACGTAGCAAAGTGACTGACTGTTATACACAATGAACTGGGGCATATTTTCAATCATATCGTGTCACACGCAGTGGGTGATGTGGCTCCACTTATAGTTATAATGGTGCATGTCTGTGACTAAGCTTTAGTCTCTCTCCGCACTTATTTCCTACCTGTATATTAGTCGGAAGCTGCCCACTTTTAAAATTAAAATAAATTAATAACAATGTTTTTTATACACTGATTCTTAAGGTTATTTTTTACTCTGAGATGCACTTTTGTGATTTGCTGATATTTACTAAGACTCATATCTTATTACCAGGGTGACCACAATGAGGAAGACATCCATTACGCAGATTTGAGGGGACACAGGGTCAACAGATCCAGAAGACCATGAAACATTGAGGATGAATGTGTGTACTCGGGTATAAAACAGTAGACAAAGTGATTAGTAATGATCTTATAAATTAGCCTTTTAGACATAGTGGTCATCTTAATAGTATCTTTTTGGATTGGTAAACAGAGTCCATTTCGAATAGGCCAGATCGGCAGGTCAATCCGTGTCAGTCCAGAAGATAGGACTCTGTAGTCGGGGACTTCAGAGCAGATACCATCTTCACATTTATATGAGGCTATTTATTTTTTTTGTACTTTATTGTCATTTCTGTATGTCTTTTGGATCTTTTATTCAAACATCTTTTCATATATTTTTTTATCAGTGATGTGACAGTTTTTTAGTGATTTTAAAATATTACATTTTTACGTTTCTCATTCTCTTAGTCATGAGGCTTTTGATGTCTTGTGTCAAGCACTTGTGTGAATTGCCTTGTTGCTGAAATGTGCTATTTAAATAAACTTGACTTGACTTTAGATGCTGTAGTTCTCTTTTCAGACCTTCCTATTCCATGGATACTTTTATAATAAATATTGTCCACACAGCCCCAATAGCTTGTTGACTTTCTGTCTTTTGAGACTTTACCTTTACAAGCTTAAGATCAACTATTTTGTTCATTTCAAGGTTCATCATCGTGTAGCTTCATAATTCTGCAGTTTCCTTAAATTTAGTATGAGAAAAAATGAATGGCCTTACTACACATAGTTAAAAAAGGACTCGAGTCACATGACTTGGACTCGCACTGTGTCTGCATTTATCAATGATCAGCAACTTAACGATAGTGACGTCATCCCCAAGCCGGCTGTAGTCTGTGAACTTCTGCACACAGACTGCTAAACAGCAATGCTTTATATCCAAACAGTAAAAATATATGCTAGTGCACGCTAAATGACCTTTTCATATATGAAGGGGAAGTTACAGAGGGGAGCGGTGGGGGTCTGGGCACTATTACCTTATACTGTAAAAAAAAGTAAAGGAGAGCAAAAATATTTTTTCATAATTTTCCAAATTCTTGACCTGATCTAATAAAATGTTCCAAATCAGTGATCTGATCCAATGAAACACAGAATTCAGGAAAAATAAATTAAAAAAAATGAAATTAGGAAGAAAAGAAAAACAGTCAGTAACACTGGTATTGTTATTTTAGGTAGGCTAAATACAATAATTGAAAAAGTAAAGTTGTTGTTGTTGTTCTCTGTACTTCAACTGTAACTTAATTAAATACATGTTTAAAATAATAATCTGACACTGCATTCCCAGACCTCTCCCGGTAATGAGTGGAACTTAAATTCCCATGGACAGTCAGGAGCAGGCATTTACTGACCTGGCCAATGTGAGCGGGATCTGAAAGACACTACCATAGTCTTGTAGTCAAGACCACACTAACCTAGACCGAGATATACTAGAGACCAGTGCTCTGAGACCAAGGCAAGACCGAGACATCTAGGGATCCAGACAGAGACAAGACCAAGACCTAGTCATGGCGAGGCTGAGAGAAGACCAAGACCATGAATATTAGTGGAAAACCATCAACTTGTTTGCAGCAGGCTTGTCACTGCGGCCATAACCTGAGTATAAAAATCTAATTTAGGAGTGAATTTAAGTTAATTTTTCTTTTAGAAAGGGGAATTTTCCTTGGAATCAAAGTAATGTCTTGGAAAAATAGTCTATCAGTGGTGGTCTTGACTGGTCTTGTTTTAAAATCTGGAGTCCGCCCAGTCCGATATGAGACCGAGACCTTCAAAAAGTGGTCTCGGGACCAAGACCGATTTCGACTACTATAAGACTGCTCCACCCTGATAAAGAGATTACGCAGCAAATAAACAATATCATTGACTAAAACCAACATTACAAAACCCATTTTCTACTGGGTTACAATTCCACAATATGAATGCAATAGTCAAAAACATAATATATGAAACAAGCAGAAAATATTATGAAGGAGAGAAACTCTACCCATTGTGAATGGCATCATCACCCTGCTAATTTCACACCCTAGCATAAACGAGGACCTCTGGTGGCGCAGGTCAGTTTGCAACCTAGACTTGTTCCTGGATTAAAATCTCTCCCACCAATAATAGTAATTACACACAGCATTGCTAAAAAACATACAAATTATCTTGTTACTTACTGACACAGCTATGATACAACCCATCTTCTGGCGAATACAACATTTTACAAAGTTTAAATACATAAAATGTCATAACAGAAAGTATTAGGAAAGAATTTGGTCAGGTAAAAAAAAGTTGAAAGTTTTTAAAATGAACACCAAACTGAGCTGCTGAGATCAGTTTGATGTGGCTGTTGCTGGCGGTGAACATCTTGACTTGTTTCCATAATAGGACATGAGGTGTCACTACAGGTTGACCAATCAAAAGCAGTCTTCTCTATGAGGTGTCGAGAAGAGATCAAGAGTCTTCTCATTCAGCACTGCAATTTGAGCACGATGACAGCTCCAAAGTTACTTTTCTATTTCACATTTCTCATCTTGGACAAAAGTGGTGAGTTGTGTTTTTTTTCTTTTAGTGTGGGGTCACTCTACCTGACATTTCCTCTAATTGTGCTTCTCTGATATTATAGATAGTACAACAGTACATTAGACTTAAACAATCTATTTACATTCTTTGCATCTTTACTTTTTCTCTCTTGTCACTTCAGCTCAGATGACTGATCAATCCTCATCTTTTCATCAAGAGAGAGAACTTATATCAGCAAATGTCGGAGACAACATAACTTTGAAATGTATCTATGAAGATAAAACGGTACAACGTTTTTTCTGGTATAAGCAACCTCTCGGACAGAAACCAAGACTGATGTCTACCTTCTATGGGTCCATTCAGAACATTGCATTTCATGATGAGTGGAAGAACAATCCACGCTTTACACTGGAAGCCGTAAATGGTGGAAATCACTTGAATATCACAGATTTACAAATTTCAGACACAGCTACTTACTTCTGCGCGGTTAGCTTTTCAGTAACTTGTAAATTTGCAGTGGGTACTTTAGTCAGCGTTAAGAGTTCAGGTTTGAATATCCCGGCTACGGTTTATCAGTCAGAATCTGAGATCATCCAGCTTGGAAGCTCTGTGACTCTGAACTGTACAGTCCACACTGGGACCTGTGATGGAGAACACAATGTTTACTGGTTCAGAAACTCTGAAGAATCTCATCCAGGACTCATTTACACCCATGGCTTCAGCAATGATCAGTGTGTGAGGAGCCCCAACACAGAAACAAACACCTGTGTCTACAACTTGCCATTGAAGAGTGTCAATAGCTCTCATGCTGGGACTTACTACTGCGCTGTTGCCTCATGTGGACGCATTCTCTTCGGAAACGGGACCCACCTGGACATTGACAGTAAGTGACTTTCCTGCTGAAACTATTGCTTTCTGATAAATAGTCATAATTACCATTTGAATATACCTAATCCAGCAAAGACTCTAAAAAGCTGATCTGCAAAGTCTCCTCTTGTCTCTTTGCAGAAGAGGACTACTCCCATATCTTGGTGTATTTCTTGAGTGGAGCTTTGACATTAACCACCATCCTTAGTTTTTCACTCACTGTGATACTGTTCAGTATTAGGAGGAAAAGCAGCTTTCACTCTGGAGGTAATTAGTACTTTTTGTTTCGGTGTATTGATTGAACATTGGATCATAGAAACTTAAAAAATTTGAATGAAATGCTTTTTATTATTTTTCAGGAACTTCGGCTTCTTCTGCTACGAATACACAGGTATTTACACCAAATCCATTATAAATTACATTTCAAACATATCTTAATATTAGAAAATACGACAGGGATTTGGTTTTGTATTTACTCCATCAGTGCTCCCTAATAGTCAAAATATTGAGTATAAAGTAGAAATGTCCAGAATAACGTTGAACTTTCGGTATGACTGCCAGATTTAAGTCATGTTATTTATCATTTGGAGAAGATGTTGAAATGTAAATGAAAAAAACCTTTCTCTTGGCAATTGCAAGCAACTGGTATTAATGAAAATTTAGACCTTATTCTTGACTTACTCTTCACAGTTATCACTTTCACGCTAATGACCCGCAGTTGTACGTCTCTGTTAAACCAGCAACTACAAAACTGCTGGGCAGTTATCAAGAACTGAATGTCCCATCATTTTCCTCAACTTACTTCAGACCAAACTGAGCATCTTATTTTTGGCCTTGAACTTTCCTCAAAAAACATTCTTCATTGTATTTGTCCTCTCACAGTTTGAAAAACCCAACATTTTACTCTGTGCATTTTAGTTGTCACCCATCTGGGGGAGGGGTTACTGCCCTTTGTGATGTCACAAAGGGGAAATCTCCACGGCCTGTTTGAGCACACATTTTCTGAGAAGTGAAGCGGGCATTAGACGTAGAGGATAGACTTTTCTCATAATTGGGGGGTTTGTAGACGGACTAGGGACACATATTAGTGTTAGAAAAACATGGTGAAGTATATTTTGCATAAAACATGACCTTTAGAATGCACTCTCCCCTCCCATTAAATCAACTGAAATGTTCATTGTTTTATAAAACTCTAAAACCCACTTTTTTAATTTGTCTGATCTAACTCAATTGATCTGTGTGCTCATGTCTGGTATTTTTGTATTTATTGGATCACTTTAAGTACATCGCCGCGTATGATATTATTTATCATTTTTGTCTTTTTATTACTACTTCTATTCTTGTTTTTAATTTTGATCTGCCTTATCTCAACTCATTGATGTAATGCACTTCTTAATATGGATTTAGAAATATGCTTTATAAATTCAGTTCATGATTTGTATTGTTGTTGTTGCTCTTTAGCTCAGAAGAATGACTTTGAAGTTTTTAACTTTTAGTTTTTTGTTGGTTAATTATTGTGATTTTTTTTTCTATAAAGGGTCACATAAATGAAGATAATCTTCATTACGCTGCTTTAAGGGTAAACCAGGCCAGCAGATCAAGAAGACATGTGGACGACACACTAGCTGAATGTGTGTACTCCAGAGTAAAGACATAAATCATGACGCTTCATCTTTGGCTACCTGTGGCAGGCCATGAACTATTGACTGTGTTTACCGGTTATTTGGCTTTTCAGACAACAGGGATCTTTCAAATGTTTTACCATGAATGTCTATTGTAAAACAGTAATACTGTAATACAAATCAAAATAATACAAATAGTGTGACATACAATTTATTTAGTACAATGATTTTCAGTTTCTCTCTAATTGTATGTTACAGTGTTATGACCCTGGGTCATGTTTTTTTTACTGTGGTGCAGTATGTTCAGTTCTTTCTCCTCCCTTGCAGTGTGTGGGTGTGTATTTGGGAAAATGTGTCTGTGTGTGTGTGTGTGTGTGTGTGTGTGTGTGTGTGTGTGTGTGTGTGTGTGTGTGTGTGTGTGTGTGTGTGTGTGTGTGTGTGTGTGTGTGTGTCTGTCAATCAGATGCTGGTGCAGGTGCTGCGTCTGATTGGTCAGTTCAACTAGTATTCCTGGATTACACCTGACATGACAACTTTTAATGTTGTATTCCATTAGATCTCAGAACTCAGAAATTCAGAGTTGCTGGTCTGATACGTAAACAGGGACATGTAATTAAATCAATCACACCTATAGTGTCGTGCAAGTTGTATCTGTGGACATGTTGTCATGTTACTAAACTATCAGGTAGTGTGTTGTTATTGCCTGGTATTAGCTAACAAAACAAAGGTACTGAAGGAGGAGTCCATGTTTCTTGTCCGACTTGTTGCAGACTCACAACTGGAACTCGGTTAATTGGGCTGTGTGGTCATTCCCAGATCCGAGTTCTGAAGTAAAAGGAACGGACCATAAATCTCAGCTGCTGCAGCCTGCTCTCCTTCCTTCACCTCACACTTTTACTAAAACCAGCATTTAGCTCTGAGATCTACAGTCTTTAGATCGTTGAAAATTATGGAGGCCTGAGTTTTTTAGATTATGTGTGTTCGATATTTTTAGTGATATTTTGTATATAACTTCTGAAAAACAGATCATTGAACACTTGATCAGCAGTGTAGGAATGACTAGCCTTTTTTTATTTTCCTGTGATGTGTAGATTGTTTAAACTTGTGTTTTGGTTGGGGACCATTTAAACTTGTGTTTTGGTTGGGGGCCATTGGGGATTTTATTAAATAACTTTTGCTTGATGTTTTAGGCACTGCCCAGCTCTGTATTAAAATAAACAGCTGCTTGAACTCTGAATTTGACTGGTGCTGCTGGCTTTCTTGGGAGTGGGAAGAGAGGGGGTTACTTATTACAGTGTGTATATAGTTCCCCTAGACAGTGGGGACATTACAACAGTAACTTAACATCTTTGCGCCATGTCGCACCCATAGACTATAAATGTTAATGGACGAAGCCTGAGTGTCGTTAGCCATCTGTTACAGCACGGGGTTCTGGAAGCTCATCGACAGCTGCCGCCATGCTGGAAATCCTGTCTCAGCCTAACTTTCAGTCCACCTAACAACATGCTTAGAGCCGGAGCTGAGGCGGGTTTTAAGTCTCTTGACAAACTTTTCCATAACGCTCTCTTATCAATTATGTCAGCTGCGGTCCTAACTATGGATAATGTATTATTTTTCAAATGAAAATGCAGCCGTTTAAAAAAAATTCACCCCCTGACAGTGTTTGCCAGTGTTGACAATTACTAATCAGACCTATTCCAGTCTTTTGTACCAAGCTGTAAACATGTTCATTTAGGCTGTAAAAACTGCTTTTTTGCCAGTCATATGTATGAGACTTCCCGTGTTTCTGCAGCCTTATGCAGACACTTGACGAACTGCAGGAATTTGCACTTCCGCATTGGCTTAATTTTTCAAGACCGGAGAGGGCCTCTTGTTCGTCCCACAGTTGAGAGTAAAATGCAGTATAGTGAGTCTTTTTTGAAAGGATAGAGGTATTAACACTGTTTCAAACCAAAAAATTTAAATAAGATATTAAAAATAAAATAAATTAGGTGACTGTGTCTAGAAAGGAGTTGGTAGAAGTAAAACATGTATATCACTTTTCTTCTATTATTTCATATACCATTCCAAGAAATGCTTAAATCTATTTATTAGCGTAGTCTCGCCTGCCAATTAAATTTCAATAAACCTTAATCTTAAATAAAGTAATAAGTGTTGGGACCAGCCATGTGCCGGCATAGGACTCGGGCCTGTAGCCCAATTCAGCTTCACAGTTTAACCTCAAAAGAACTGAGGTTTCTCCGTAGGTGCTCTCTATCTCTCTCACATGCTTCCAACAAAAGAGGACTTACACTTCCAAGGAACAATTTTAAGAGTTTTGCGCATTCAGCCTCTGGCTGGTCAAGCACCAAGAGTTTTCTTTCTTTCGTTTACTTCGACGTCATTGAACACAACCGGAGAGGAGTACTGCAGACAGGCCCACAGGTAGATGAAGAAGAAAACATAAATCTCTTTCTGCAACAAGGAAGACAATAGAGCATTGCTCTTGTCGAAGGTCTGTCTCCTGCTGTCCCCTCTTCATCTGCCAAGGAAAAACCTGCCTGAATCATTTAATCAACATTCAACAGATTGAACATCAGACCAACCTCGCAACAATCACCAGAAATGATCCCAAGTAAGAGGCTTTTGTCTGCGCAGAAATAGCTTTAGGATGTGTTTCTATTCTAACTGATAATTGTCCATTATTGTTGATGAAACGTCACTTGCTGTTTATCATCTTTTGTAAGCTGCTGCATTTGTTTCATTGTAGCCGATCCGCCGTATTCGCCTTTCTGTGTTTTATTCACTGCTGTGCTAGCCTACTTTCAGTTAACTGCTGAACTGCTTTCACCATCAGGAAGACCAGTGTACATGCCGTTGAATGAAATCCAGCTACTGGCTTCCTTGTGTTTAACTCAGAGAGCTCAAGCTGCTTCAAAGGCCAAGCCACAAGGCTCCCTTTGTTCTCTGTCCACCCATTTGTGCCCATGTGACGTCACCACATGCTTTCACATCACTCTGCCTCCCCCAACTCTCTCACTCTCTCTCCACACACACACACACACACGCATAAACACGTGTGCTACTCTGTTTGTTTGTAAATACTTTGTTGCTGTAGCTTAGTTTATAATAGACATTTGATCTACGTCCCAACCCTCCCCAATGGTCATGAACTATGGGTAGTGACCCAAAGAATGAGATTGGGAATACAAGTAGCCAAAGTGCGTTTCCTCCGGAGGGTGGCTGGGTTCAGCCTTAGAGATATAGTGAGGAGCTCAGACATTCAGGGGAGCTCGGAGTAGATCTGCTGCTCCTTCGCATTGAAAGGAGCAAGTTGAGGTGGTTTGGGCATTTGATGAGGATGCCTCCTGGACGCCTCCCTTTGGGGGTCTTCTGGGCACGCCCAACTGGGAGGATACCCCAGGGTAGACCCAGAGTTCGCTGGCAAGATTATCCTTAACCTTGGAACGCCTTGGAATCCTCCAGGAGGAGCCGGAAAACATTGCTGGAAAGAGGGATGTCTGGTTTAACTTACTGCCCCTGCGGCCACTGTGACCCGACCTGGTGAAGTGGGAGAAAACGGATGGATGGATGGAAGGGTGGATGGAGGCTTTCCCATCGGTTTCCCTACTTCACAGTGTTCGGAGAGCTGCCGAAGCTCAGCCATAAAATTTGCCATAGACTGACCTGGCTTCCTGAAATGACTATGAAACTTAAACCTTTGGACAATCACAGAAGGCTTTGGATTGTGGTGGTTCCCCACGAGCTGGACCAGTTCATCATGTAGAATTCTGGTTCCGCTGCTCTAACTTCTACTATAAAAGGAACCAGTCAAAAACTTTATGTCAAGGTATTTACTCTTTATCTAGAACAGCAGGAGTTTGTTTCCAGAATGTGGCCGAGACGGAACCATGCTGCAATCAAGGGTATTATCAAGTAACATTCAAATACATAGCAGCAAATAGGATAACATATACCCTTACAAAACGAATAACTTAAACAACAGCTCCCCTTTGTGGTAGTTGGCTATCATGTGATTGACCTAGTTAGGTTTAGCATTCTTTTATAATGCTCACGTTACAACAGGAGAGAAACTCTACCCATTGTGAATGGTAACGTCACCCTGCTAAATTCACACATTGGCATAAACGAGGACCTCTGGTGGTGCTGCTCAGTTTGAAACCTAGACTTGTGCCATGTGTGAAATAGGAGCCCATTTCTCGATGAAAGATCTCCCACCAATACCATCTAGTGACACTTGCATCAGTGAGATATAATTACACACAGCATAGCTGAATAACATCTTGTAACTTAAAACTGGCACAGTTATGATACAACCCATCTTTGGATGAACACCATGTTATTACAATGTTAAAATACATCAAATGTCATAACAGGAAGAAAGAATGGAGACATAATTAGGTCAGAAACCAAAAAGGTTGGAGGTGTTTAAAATTAATACCAAACTGAGCTGCTGAGATCAGTTTGATGTGGCTGTTGCTTGGCGGTGAACATCTTGACTAGTTTCCATAATAGGACATGAGGTGTCACTACAGGTTGACCAATCAAAAGCAGTCTTCTCTATGAGGTGTCGAGAAGAGATCAAGAGTCTTCTCATTCAGCACTGCAATTTGAGCACGATGACAGCTCCAAAGTTACTTTTCTATTTCACATTTCTCATCTTGGACAAAAGTGGTGAGTTGTGTTTTTTCTTTTAGTGTTGGGTCACTCTACTTGTCTTAGCCTCTAAATATGTTCCTCTAATATTGCAGATAGTACAACAGTACATATTCATTGCATCTGTACTCTGTCTCTCTTGTCACTTCAGCTCAGATGACCAATCTATCCTCATCTGTTCATCAAGAGAGAGAATTTATATCAGCTAATGTCGGAGACAACATAACTTTGAAATGTTCCTCTGGAAGTAATAGGGTAAGACGTTTTTCCTGGTATAAGCAACCTCTCGGACAGAAATCAAGACTGATGTCTGCCTTCTATAAGTCCAATAAAAACATTGCATTTTAATGATGAGTGGAAGAACAATCCACGCTTTACACTGGAAGCCGTAAATGGTGGAAATCACTTGAATATCACAGATTTACACATTTCAGACACAGCTTATTACTACTGCGCAGTTAGCTTTTCAATAACTTATAAATTTGCAGTGGGTACTTTAGTCAGCGTTAAGAGTTCAGGTTTGAATATCCCGGCTACGGTTTATCAGTCAGAATCTGAGATCATCCAGCTTGGAAGCTCTGTGACTCTGAACTGTACAGTCCACACTGGGACCTGTGATGGAGAACACAATGTTTACTGGTTCAGAAACTCTGAAGAATCTCATCCAGGACTCATGTACACCCATGGCGGCAGCAATGATCAGTGTGTGAGGAGCCCCAACACAGAAACAAACACCTGTGTCTACAACTTACCATTGAAGAGTGTCAATAGCTCTCATGCTGGGACTTACTACTGCGCTGTTGTCTCATGTGGACGCATTCTCTTCGGAAACGGGACCCACCTGGACATTGACAGTAAGTGACTTTCCTGCTGAAACTATTGCTTTCTGATAAATAGTCATAATTACCATATGAATATACCTAATCCAGCAAAGACTCTAAAAAGCTGCTCCGCAACATCTCCTCTTGTCTCTCTCTTTGCAGAAGAAGACTACTCTCATATCTTGGTGTATTTCTTGAGTGGAGCTTTGACATTAACCACCATCGTTAGTTTTTCACTCACTGTGATACTGTTCAGTATTAGGAGGAAAATCCGCTTTCACTCTGGAGGTAATTAGTACTTTTTGTTTCTGTGTGTATTGATTGAACATTGAATAATAGAAACTTAAAAGATTTGAATAAAATGGCTCTTTATTATTTTTCAGGAACTTCGGCTTCTTCTGCTACGAATACACAGGTATTTACATCAAATTTATTATAAATTACATTTCAAACATATCTTAATATTAGAAAAAACGAGAGGGATTTTGGTTTTGTATTTACTCCGTCAGTGCTCCCTAATAGTCAAAATATTGAGTAGAAAGTAGAAATGTCCAGAATAATGTTGAACTTTCGGTATGACTGCCAGATTTAAGTCTTAATCAAAGAGGAAAGATGTTATTCATCATTTGGAGAAGACGTTGAAATGTAAATGAAAAAACCTTTCTCTTCTGCAATTACAAGCAACTGGTGTTAATGAAAATTTAGACCTTATTCTTGACTTACTCTTCGCAGTTATCACTTTTACGCTGATGACCCTCAG